AGAAAATAGCCTCATTGACTTGAATTCATTTTTTGGTTCATCCTGGGACCCATGGTCTGGAAGTAGATGGGCATGACTTAGGCTCCCCATCGAACCATCCATCCATTTTTGGCCGCTTATCCGGGGTCGGGTCGTAGGGGCAGCAGCCTAAGAAGAGAGGTCCAGACTTCCCCATCCCCAGCCACTTGGACCAGCTCTTCCGGGGGAATCCTAAGGTGTTTTCTGGCCAGCCGGGATACATAGCCTCTCCAGCGTGTCCTGGGTCTGCCTGTAGGTCTTCTGCCGGTTGAACGTGCGCAAAAAACCTCACCAGGGAGGCGTCCAAGTGGCGTCCTTACTAGATGCCCGAGCCACCTCAACTGGCTCCTATTGATGTGGAGGAGCAGCGGGTCTACTCCGAGCCCCTCCTGGATGACCAAGCTTCCCACCCTATCTCTAAGGGAGAGCCCAGACACCCTGCAGAAAACACTCATTTTAGCAGCTTGTTTCGGTGATTTTGTTCTTTTGGTCACTACCCAAAGCTCGTGGGTTGGAACACTCAATCTCTGCATCAGGTTTGTCAAATTCCAGTCCTCAGGAGCCGTAATCCTGCATATTTTTGTTGTTTCCCTGTTCCAACACAGTTGATTCACCTGTGCAGCAGCTCATCAAGCTCCCCAGAAGCCTGTTAATCACTGACTGATTGAAATCAGGTGTGTTGAAACAGGGAAAACACTAAAATGTGTAGATAGCGGCCCTCGAGGACCGGTGTTTGACACCTGTGGTCTATATAGATATCTAGTTGGAACCTTTCAACCTCGCACACCAACTCAAGCTCCTTCCCCACCAGAGAGGCGACGTTCCATGCATGCTCCAAGAGCCACCTTCTGTAGCCGAAGATCAGATTGCTAAGGTCCCTTAGTGCACCCAAAAGAATTCCATTTTTGAATCCAAGCCTTCAGATTAAAAAAAAATTCCAACAAGAGACAAATCAAGCGTGTTTAGAGCCCAACGTACCTCTCAGATGTGAAATCAACTCCTAAAGGTGAACCAGACCCCATCTCTCCCCCGATCCTTTACAGTCACCATGGTGGACTCAGCCCTGCTGCCCTGCAGCTGGAGGTGTTTGTTTCACAGGCTTCTGTGATGCGGGACCTGGACGGATCATGTTTCGCAGGTACAAAAGTTTCTGCTTTAATCCTATCATGCAGAGTGAGTGGTCAGGGCTTAGGGTTCCTGCTTAATCTCGGGTTTACCCCTCCTGGTGAGCTCCGAGACAGGGAGGAAGAGATTACTGCCCCTCTATGATTTTGCTCTATCAGTGTTTGCACAGTTAAGGCTCCTCAACACCTAAGCGCACAATGAAGAAGACTGGGAACAGATACAGTTTAAACATCTTTTTGTGAAGATGTCACACATGTAGGTGCAAAGAAATGTTTAGAGGATATGTCTTTTTTCAGCTCTGATGGAATCAGGATCAGCTCTAAAGACAGATGCAGAGATCAGACATGAAAACTTCAAAACAATTTGGGCTCTGGAGGCAGAAAAGGCTGTTTTCTGGTGAACAATTTGACAATTTGTGCAACAGGTTTTTTATTTTATTTTTATTTTTGCAAACCTGTCAAATCAGAAAGTTCACTTCAAGACGCCTCGCTCTACCTGTTGGATATTATCTGCGAGAAACCCATGACACATATGCTCTCCAATACTAGTGCTGATCACTGCTGTTCCATAAGTACAGACTGAAAACAGTCGTACCAACAAGGCAACACCTCCTGCTCCCCAGACGACACGGTGGAGATTCTCACAGGCCAGAAATGTCTTTGATTCATTGTAGAAAGAAGACATCCTCAGAAATTTAATCCATATTCACGCTGGCAACAACAAAGCAAATTGCTGCATCCTTCTGCAGGTTCCTTGAAGTGTGAAACTTGAAGGACGAGTGGGTCTTTTGAAGGCAGGTAGAAGGCGTTGCGGGGCTGAGAGGTGCTGGAAAGGGCATGTCCAAACAGACTTTAGGCCCTGAGTGATGGGACACGGGAAAAGGTAACGGGACACCGAGGCCTCGCTCTAATGTCAACATGGTCATGTGAGTCACAGCTGTGAATTATGTCTGAGGATCCAGAAGACAATGGAGGCCGATTCTCTGGGAGATGTTTGAACTTTCACAGAATCTGCGAGCTTTGTCGCAGTATTTGTCAGCAGTGGTGGTGTGTGTTTTTTAACCTTTGAAGGTGATTTAGCGGAGCTGTAATAAATATTTGATGCTGAAAGATGATGTGTCACATCGAGAAGTCGAATAAAGGCGCTCATGAGCATTAAACTCAGATTCACTTCAGTCATCAGTTATACTTGAGAAAAATATTACTTAAAAATATTTTCATTCACTGAAATGTAGACCCAAACTCTACGGAGTCCTCTTAAATGTATAAACTCACTGTGAAACGTCTATTAGATCTATTTCTAAACCCAAGCACTTAATTTAAGCCTCAGCATGGTGAAATAAAGACCCAAAGACCAGTTTATAGGAAACTTGAGATGTTTTGCAGTTACATCAAAACAACGCTAGAGGGCAGCACACATCAGCAAATGAAACTTTACTTTTCCACATAAAACACATTTATAACGGAGGCACCACCAGGGATTTTGGACCCCATGAAAAAATATCCCATTCATTTTTTTATAACAACAAATTAAACATTTTCTTCATTTACACCACATTTCTGGTTATATTGTGACAAGAAACTGCACCGATACTGAGTGTAAACAACAGGAATAATCGTATCTGCTGATTCATGTTTAGTCGTGTTTTCAGGAGTAATTATGAAAACCATTAATCACATATGTTAAAAATAATTTAACGTTTGGTCCACTTAGGAGAAAAAGTCTAAATAATTCAACATGTCGAACCAGGAAATGATAAATTCACCGCTCATGGAACAAATAAATATAGAAAATGTAAGTTTGTGTTATGAATTCATAAATGTGATTAAAGTAGTAATATCTGTGTACTGATCCAATTAAAATGGTTCACCTACTTTATTTATTTACAATGTGACAACATTAAGAACAACAGTTGTATGCTTTGATTACATCATGAATAGATTATCCAAAATTTGTTGTTAGCAGATTTAAAAATATGCTCCTGAATGTTGTTTAATGAGTGTCGGATTTGTTCCGCTGACTTCCTGTTTGTTAAAAGGGGGGTTGTACGATTTCATTGTTGATTTTCCCGGCTCTGATTGGTCTGACCCCATCAGGGTTCTTTTACATCATCATATTTGATCACCTTTGTCAAAGGTGCACCTTTCCTAATGCAAAAGGCAAAAGGAGCAAAGTAAAACATTTTCTGCATGCTTCTGTTAGAAAATATAGTTATCTCTGTATATTATTTGATTAACTTTTGACAGTAACCCAGAGAAAAAATGGCTGTCACAACTAACAACATTACTAACACAAAAATGGCTTAAACTCTGTTTTAAATATTTAGCTACAATGTGATGTAGGAGTAGCTGAGAATCCTTACTACAAATGGCACATAAAATGGCAAATAATGTTATTTTATTGGCTACTTGGATCATTTCTCATTCTTTTCATGTTACTGCTGAACAATTTGTTCATCCATATAATTATGCTTTTAAAAAGTTGGTAAACAGAACCCACATATCCTCAAACTGAGCTTGATTTCATTTATTTCAAATTATTTTTAACAGAATAACGTTTTTAACCTTCACTGACTTTGCGTTTTACATTATATTATTGCTTTAGGGTTTGTTACATTTTTTCAGCTGTTATTTGGTTTGTAAAGTTCTACATAAATAACATTGATAGTAGAGTTCCCATGAAGTCATGAGGAAATAGTCTCTGAAATCTGCCTCCGTTGTCATTAATACATCATGATCTCCTTGGGAGCATCTTCTGTAGGCCTCTCCTGCTGTCGTCTTTGGGTGTAGCTAGCATGGTCGTAAAGGTAGATTAAGAGGACGGCACAAAGAGACATCACCGTGTAAGGAATGACCAGGAAGTACCCCAGCTGCATCTGCAAGGATTTGTTTCTGACGTCCACCTTTATATTGGAGACTTGGTTAACCAAATCTTCTGGCATGCTGGTCACCCCGAGGTTCAGCGCAAAAATAATAAGGACCAGCACAGACAAACACGCTGCAGAAGAAAGAAAAGGATTGGTCCAAACACACGGGAAGTCCTGGATGCATACAGATGTGATGATAGAGCTACTTACCACTGAGAGAGCTGCAGGTGTAAACTCCAATAGGCCCCATGTAGGTCTCATACGGATTACTGACGCTGTTATAAAGGGAGATGAGGATGCTGCCCGCAGAAAACAGCAAACACAAAGCCAGCAGGGACACCAGCAGGCCGTGCACAGCCAAAGGAGAGACTCCTATCAATGTTAAGGTGGGGAACACTACAAGAACACAAACATATGGATAGGGCTCCCATATCACAGTTTGAAGGCATACAGGGGAATGAATTCAAGAGCTGGTTTTTGAGAGCATAAAAAAACAGAAACAAAATCACTGTTTGCTCAAATTTGGTTGATTTTAAGCAGAAATAATATTAAAAATGATTCCAGTGATTGTTTTTGTTATTTTGCTTCTTGAAGGCAGAAATCACAATGAGAGTTGAAAATTGTAGTTTTTGAACACAATCATAGTTAGAAAACATCTTACCATCGAATCTGTCCTCCCCTCCAAGGGGACAGGAGACTTTGGTTAAAACTCCTTTAAAAAGACTCATTTTGACCACTGCAGTTCCAGTGACATTGCCACCTTCAGATGCTTCACACACCATGGTGGTGTCCGCCCACTGAGCTGACATGGCAAACCCCAGCAGTCCAACAGAAATGGCAGTAACTAGTGCACTAGAAAGAAAAAGGAGAATCTTCTTTGTGGATGGCATTTTTGCTGTATTCCAGGTAAGTTTAAATCCCAAAGTCTGTTCAGTTAAACAAAGAGGAAGTCTCAGGGCAGATTCCTGATCCTCCACAGGTCCTGTGTACGAGTAACGTCTCCTGGGTGGAGTGAAATGTGGACTGCTGGTCATAAAGTGTCAGGTTTATGACTGCGACCTTTGGTTTGAAATCAGAAATAGAGAGCTGGTTGTCATAGCAGGGACAACAGCTTCACTTAAACATGGCAGATTCATCACGTCAAGCTGTGAGACTGACAGCATCTCTCACAGAGGGAAAGGGCCGGGTCAAACGGGCTCACAGAGATCTCTAGTTTACCTTCAGGACCTTTGAAAGTGCCTCAAAATAACCTGTAAACGATCACTGATGCTCTTCCGATGATCATATTTGCAGTTTTGGATCCAAAGTCTCGTTCCCAGTGTCGTCGGGTAGTAAAATAAATTAATAATTTACTTTAAAAAGGTGACTGGAAGAGACGTAATAATGTAATCGTGCTCATGTCACAATAAACTCGCGACAGAGGTGTTGTCACGGCACAGAACGTATGTTTGGGACACGATTACAGCAGGTTTAATCATCCGTTAAAACTACAATGTTGGTTTTGCCGTGCTTATCTGGGTCTCATGTTAGCGTAGCAGCACAAAATCAAAGAAAAGAGAAAGAAAAGAGAGCTGACTGGAGCAGCTGATTCATGTTAATGATGGATAAGGAACAAGGAAAAGATGTGCTCACCTTTGACCTTTTGTATTTATAGACGCTCCAATCTTCAATGTGTTTCCTGTATCAAATGAGCTAATGTTTGGTAGTTATAAAACAACTATTGCATCTTTGTATATTGAAAACAAAAATGAAGAATTTCAAGTGGTAATTATTTAGCCCCTATATGAAGCATGCAATGAATGGACATGAGAAAAATAAATCAACAAATAAGAGGATGTTTGGATGAAAAAGTGAAACATTATTCTCTTACTGTCCTGACATAATAATAATAATAATAATAATAATAATAATAATAATAATAATAATAATAATAATAATAAATTAAGCAAAAAATGTGCCTCTCTTTTGGTGAGAAGGATAATTTCTCTGAATTTAAACCATCATGGGCTAATTTAAATTCCAATGCATAGGCTGTTTGCTGTTTTCATGTCCAACGTTATGTGACATTCAACCAAAATATGGTTAATTGGTCTGATTGTAGAACTAAATAACAACTCGACTTGATGGAAATGTTGTAATAAAAGTTTAATTGAGGGAAATAAATTCAATAATTACACATCCGAAGTGGTTTCAATCTAATGTCTACTCTGGTGATTCATAAGGATTAGTCTTTGTGTCAAAATAAGACAGGCATTTAGGACATTTATTTAGTATACATTTTATAGCAACTCTGTTACAGAATAAGAGTTAATACTAATTCTAAGATCATTTTACTAAGATAAATACAAATAAAACCACATTAAAACAGATTTTAGTGAGAGAGTAGCACGGTAGCTGCTTTCTGGAGCGAAGCTATTTAAGTTATTTGAGGACATGCTGGCGCTAGTCTGGGTTGTAGTACCGGCTATGACCAGCAGGTGTCTCCCTCCTGCAGGGGCGCTGTGGCGCGGCGTCTGACAGCAGCTTGGTGGTGTTGGAGTAAAACCACAAACTCCACCTTCCCGGTGACAGGCGGCAACACTGAAGCGCTGCCTCGCCTCTTTCCAGACAATCTGCGCTCAGGACTTACTATTCAAGCCATAAAGGTGAGTTGTATGACTTCATTTAAGTACGAACGTACGAAAATTAGATCTTGACGCGTGTTTAGTGAGCGGGGAAGGTCCTGAATTGAGTCGCCTTCCCCCGCCTGCGTTACCTGTCCGTTACGCACCAGCGTGGCTGCTTTTTCACATGATGAAGCGTCCATTTCAGGTGCGCATGCTGCTCGGGTTGTTTTCAGCACCTTTTCATCATTCGTGTCTCGCTGTTGTTTGTTTGCTTATTGAGGTGTGTGCTTCTGACAGCCTGCTGTCGGTCAGCCCGGTGCGTCAAAGTGGGTGAATGGATCAAACGCTTGGAGTTCGTTCCTGCTTGTTTTCCTCATTCATCTGCTCTGTCTGTCTCCTGCTTCCATCACAAGCATGTGGTCCTTTTCCTCATTCTCCGTGGCTGACTCTTCTGCTGTGGGCTGCAGTTGAGCCAGTTCCAACATGTCGAGGCTGAACTGGTGCTGGAGATGTGATAGATCTGCCATGACTGCCAGCTAATGAGATTGTCTCCTCTTCATAGTGCAGGCTGGGATGTTCATTTTTCATATTAACCCACCAGACATGCAATATTCCCTTTTAGACATGGTCTCCAGCTGGAAGGAGGTCAGAGGTCAGGAGCAGCATCAGATCAGCATCACTGTTAAATCCATAAAGCAGATAGAGGACATTTTTCAGTCTTTGGGAATTCAGTTCTGGCACAGATTTGTGTTTTATGTATTGATCTTGAGGGGGAAAACATTCCCAATTAATATTTATTTATTTAATTATTAACTAACTAGAAAAAACCCACTGAGATCAAATTTTCCTCAGTGAGAGCATACAGACAGAGACGGGGCTAGTTAAAACAACAAAATGCACATGTAATCAGCATTTTTATCTAAATCAGCTTGGCAAGACATCAACAGATTGATTTTTTTGACTCCCAAGTCATTAGGAAGTCATCTAAAAGTGTTCAAAAAAAGACCACAACCATAGTTTTCAGGTCACTTTGCTAGCGGCTCCAGTCATGAAATTCAACATATTTAAATACATATTTTCAGAACTCAGTAAAACCTTTGGTACTAACAAGAAAATGTCCTGTGAGCGAAGACTATAACCAGCCAGTAGATTTGAAGATACGGATGCAGTTGGTCTAAAATAGGCTTAAGAATTTAGAAAAAAGTATTATTATGGAGTGAAAAGCTCCAGGGATAAACTGTATCCTGATTTTGAGAGGAGGATACAGATCACCAGACATTCATGTGGCAGCAACAAGCCTCTTTTTGGCCTCAAAAGGTAATTCTAAAATGAAAACTCTTTCAGATAGAGCTTTACCCGCATGTAGGTGTCAAACAGAAGGAAAATATAAAATTATACAAAATATATAAAACCCACAAATATTTAACTAAATGATCAATACATCATATAGGCTACACGTGCTGTGTATAATCTGCATTTAAAGGGACTATAAGGAAGTGTGACAGTCAAAACATGTATAGAAATAATAAATTTCTTCTTCATACATTCTCCTGCAATGCCCTGGTCCTGTAGAATGAGCCCTGGCATTTTTACTGTGATTGCCTATTTTTTTGTAAAATCACAGAAAAAGAGAGCTGCTCAGGTCGAGCAGGCTGCTTCATGCGTGTTCACGCACAGGCATAGCCCGTAGCATTTGCTATCAGTAGCTTTAGCAGCAGAGAGAGAGAGAGGCAGTGCCACTTTGTCGCTGGTCCTAACGCCTAGTGACAAACTTAGCTACATTTCTGAGGACCCTTAGCTACTTTCTGTAGAACTCTCTTCTAGATATTTCCTGCAAATTAGCAACAAAATAGCCATTTTCGCACCGAACCGTTCTTTGGATTGACGTTGTTTCAGCTGTCATCTAGGACATTAATGTTACGGATACGCCAAATGTTACTGGTGCTTTAGCTCACCTAGTAAGGTGTCTGACTCATGCAGAAGACCTGGGTTCGATTCCTGGTGTGAACAAAGTTTGTTATTTGGAGTTTCTTTTTTACATTAATGATATTTTTTTACAGTAATAAGACGCCCACATTTTTATTTGAGACTCGCCGAAAGGCATTGAATTCACGGATAAAAAAGATGTGGGTTCAACTTTCATTTTGGAACAAATTTTCAAGCAAGGGAAGGGAATGATCTGAGCATCCTGAGGACTGACCCATCATAAACATTTGTCGGCTGTGCTGAAGAGAAAGGTACAGAACCAAATTATTTAATTAATTAGCTGCGTGTTCTCCTGTCCTCTGTCCTCCGGGCCACACACACACACACACACACACACACACACACACACACACACACACACACACACACACACACGCACACACACACACACACACACACACACACACTGCACGCTCGGCCGGCCGACGAGAAAGTGCAGCTGCAGAGACAGAGACACATTATTTTTATTAATTTGCTGTGTTCTTCTGTCCTCTGGGCCACACACACACCCACACACCCACACACCCACACACACACACACACACACACACACACACACACACACACACACACACACACACACACACACACACACACACACACACACACACACACACACGGGACTGTCTCAGCTGTTATTTTCGTTAAGGAGTACAGCATGTGCGCCTCGTGCACGAGCCTACTATTGAAGCTGCCTTTACGCTTTTGGCCTGAGGGGGCAATCGTGAGCATAAAAATTCAAAAGTCTGAAAAGTGTAGTTTAAAAAAGTTCTCTTTTCACCATGACCAAAATGTCTTTGACGAATTTCCTGTTCCTTCGGGGCACAGCAATCTTTGCCATAGACCTATGCCATAACTGGAGCATGTGTGCTGGATCCTCCTCCAAAACAGGAGAGCCTTTGGGGGCAAAGATTTGCGCTCGGAGCATGTGCAGAAGACCGGGCCTTTTGTATTAACCAATCACAGGAAGAGAAACACTTTAAACCAGAAAATGATGTGGCGTCAGAGATTTTTAGACACTCCAGCAGGTTAAAAAAAAAGTTTGCATATATTGGTGAATATTAAGAATGTTTTTGGAACAACTTTGTTGCCGGAAGTGCTAGTGGACCTGGTACCAGGTCCACCGGGTTCAAGTATGTGACCCATAAGAATGATAATTTGGCGTCTCCCATTGGCCATATGTGGTTAAAGTGTATGTGAAAACTGACCTGCAAAAATGCGACCCACCAAAAAAATCAATTCACCAGCTACCACTGTTAAAAGGAAAACTTCAAAAGGAGTGGTCCCAAGACTAAGCCCTGAGGTACACCTTTAGTCTCAGTAAGTAAATTGGAAGTGAAACAGATGACCTCTACACTCTGTTCTCTGTTAAACACATTGAATCATCTAGCTGCACAGAGAGGCAAATCTCTGTTTCAGTTTATTCAGTAATTTAACATGTATTGTCAGACTTTTCTTTTTTATATATTTTTTGAGAACTACATCCCCGTACTGTGAGCTGAGCTAATTACTGTTGAACGGAGAAGCTGCTAAATGACTTTTATTAAATCTGTTAGTCAACCTGACATGGCCAATTACTGCAGATTAAGTGAGGCTGCCTCCAGAATGAGCAAATGAGAAAAGTATTCAAGCTTATAACTGGGAGCGATTAACTTGCATCACTTCTGAAATGATCACTTTTTGGAGGAGAAAGAGAAAAATTCTGGAGACATATGAGCTGCTCAATTTAAACAAAAAAAGGTAAATGAAATAAAAAGCAAAACAAGAAAATGCATCAACCCTGATTTGATCTAATCTCATCTTTCTCCTCCCTCCAGTCCAGCCGTGCAGCAAAAACATCAGGAAGACTTACAGAAGCTTAAACATTTGCAGTAAAATAAACACTCTGCATTCATCGAGACTCTAAAGGTTGTAACACTTGACCACTGAAAGCTGTTTTTGGTTTTATTTGGCTTTTATATTTCAACTAAAACTTTAGGAGTTTCACAGGGTGGTCCATTTAATTAGCAGGACAGTGGTGTGAGGTTACAGTTTAATCTCTTCATGAAAAGAAGACTGGCTTATAACTGCAGTAGCTATTTCCAGGCTACCTTTCATGGCTGTTGAACACTTCCAAGATGTTCTATTTTTTCCTGCTGTTCGAACGTGGGTGTGCTGTGAGGAACTGTATCAGCTGATTAATGAAATCCACAGTGAGATGGGTAAGAACGAGTTGTACAGATTGGGAGATATTAACAAATTAAAGGATGTGCGCCTCAAACTGACAGTTTCTCTGTTTTGCACTGTCCATCTGCTGCAAGTCCTGGAGACACACATTCTAATGTCAAGCTACACACTGCGCTTTACTCTTTCTGAGGCTGCAAACACACAAACGCTTACAACATTTGAAATAATTGACAATAAACCTAACCCAACCTAAAACTTTGCACACAAAAAACTGTATTAGCCAGAAGCTTATGAATTAGGAATTGTTAAGGAGATAAATCTTTTAGATGCAAGCGGGATTTGTATCCAGTCTTGTTGTTTCTGCATGCCTCAGTGGAAGCCTGTTAAAGTACATTAGTCTGTAGAGTGTTGCAACTGGAGGCGTGTTTGTGCTTGAAGCTAATGCTGCAGAAAACTAGCTCTGCAGTCTCCCTCTGGGTTTTAGTGTCAAGCTAAATAGATTCAATAAAAAAAAAACATCTCACAGAAAGCAGAAAGTTACCCTCACAACTGTTCTTTTACATGTCATAGTTTAAATAGAAAACAAGTAGAGACCAACAAAGAACGCAACAGTGGAAACAGAGTGTTGCAGTGGTGGCTTCCTTGGAGGACTGGAGGTGGATTCAGACAGAGACCTCACTGACAGAAAGGGTGTGTCATCAGAGTAGATTCGTTTTAAACACCTGGTCACTACAAGAGAGACCTACAGACTACAGCTGTGCAAAACACCACAGTACCAGCTCTGTCTCCCTTCATCCTACACATCCGTCCTCAGAGTGGGATCTGTTACACCCACGGTCCACTCTGAGGTAAGACAGAGACTTTGTAGTCCTGCTTTAATCCCCCAA